CCCGATCACCGCCCCCCAACGGTCCCGGTGCCGGTGGCCATGCTGTGCCACGGGGAGGGCCTGCTGAGCTCGCTGGCGGCGCTGCTGGCGCTGGCGCTGGCGCTGGCGCTGAGCCGGAGCCCGGCGCTGGCCTGCCTGCTGCCGGCCGGGTTTTACCTGGCGCTGCACCTCCTGTCCCTGGAGCCCGCGGCGCCTCAGAGCGCTGAGCGCGTCCTGCGGCCCCGGGGCACCGCCGCCCGAATCGCGCACCGGGGCGGCGCGCACGACGCGCCCGAGAACACGCTGGGGGCCATCCGCCAGGTCAGCACGGGCCGGGGCTGSGGGGCAGGCTCAGCCTGCTGGGCGGTGGTACGGGCTGATGGGTTGKGTTTGATGATCTGCCTTTCCAGCACCAAGCCCTCCTCGCCGTGAGTTACTGCAGCTGTGCTTCCTACAGCTGCTGGAAGCTGTGTGGCTTCATTGTCAGTCCTTTGTCCCCAGGGAAATTCAGATCGTATCTGAGTCTTGTGAGAGCTATTATAGCCTTGGTGCCGATGGATATTTCAGCAATGCAGCGATAATGAAATAATGTATTTTACTGATAGAGAGACAGCACACGGAGAGCAGACAGCAGCTCAGTAACAGGTTATTTGTTTTTTTAAACCTTGGAGATCTGTGATGAGGATCTTCTTATGGGAGGGCTGATACCAGGAGACTTCACAGTCATGAGTTAGTGCTGCTCATCTGCAAGGCATCAAGGCACAGCCAGGGTTCACAGTCTGTTTCTGAGGATCATTTGMAATTGTGATTAGCAGGGTATCTGTGAGGTTGAGATGTTGCTGCTCTGAGGGTYTCCTACCTTCACGTGAGCCAGGGCTCTTAGTCCTGATGAATTCTAGAGCTGCTCAATTCTGACATGGCAGACACCTGTAGGTAACTTCTGTACACCTCTAGTGCATACCTGTTTTTTGTCTTTCTGGTGCATTGTCCCTTTTACCAGGAGAGCATTTGTCCTTCAGAACTATGGGTCTTGTTTGCCCTTCACTCAAGTGTTTTTCTGAAGAGTTCTTGGCAAGGTCCAGGGTAGGAACAGGATGGATGMAATGTTCTAAGGCAGCCTGGCTGCTTATTGCTCTCTGATAAGGGCATTCCTCAGAGAGGAGCAGCAATTTGCCTGCATCCATCTAATGCTTGGTACACACATGATAAATTAGTGTTTACTAAGTGTYAGTCTGCAAATTATGTAAACTGCAGGCATTTGCTTCCCTTCTCTTTTAGAAAATAATATATATTAAGGACTTCATCAGAAGAAGAGAACAGGATTCTTTCCTGCATTTTTATCCTGATACTGTGGTTTATCCAATCCCAAGACTGAGGCATRATCACTATGGTTTTATCTGTAAAATAGATTATATGGTTCAATTGAYCTATGAATACTCAAACAATGACTTGGATAAAACCTTCTATGTTCTGCAGATGAAGACTACTGAAAAGAACTTTTTTTTTTTTACCAAAATACAAGCTAATTATAGCTGCACCAATGTCAAACCTATAAAGCTGTCTGTTCTAYTGTATATGTGATTTTTAAAATGTTTTTTAAGGCAGCTGAGAATGGAGCAACGGGTGTGGAGCTGGATCTTGAATTTAGTGCAGATGGTGTCCCCATTCTCATGCACGATGACTCAGTGGAAAGGACAACGGATGGGGCTGGGAGACTGCGGGACTTGACTTTTGAGGAAATCAGGAAGCTTAATCCATCTGCAAAACACCGGCTACGGTAAACAAACTACTCTGAAATTMCTCTTTCAACAGAAAAAGAATAATTCTTGATCAACAMAATTATTGATTTGAACTATCACTGATRAAAATTTTTGAGAATTTAAAACTCAGTCCCATATGCTAYTTCTAATTTGATTTTAGAAGTGATGAGACTATATCTCCTTACCCATCATTACATTAGGAACAGTGAAGCACAGTCAGGAAAACTGATTTTCAAGGACAAAATCCGCAGACAACCAATGTGAAACAGGTCAATCTCTACCTAAGCTTGTCCTAAATTGACTGCAGGACACTAAAGGTGCTGAGATTTTCACGACAATGTCTCCGGGACTCAGTCCTTGTGTGTGTGCAYGTGTGTTGACTGCATTCCAATGAGTTCTCCATTTCTACAGGAGCCAATTCCAAGATCAAAAGATACCAACTCTGAGAGAAGCTGTTGTGGAGTCCATGCATCACAATCTTACAATCTACTTCGATGTCAAAGGCCATGCAAATCAGGTACTGCTCACTGCAGCAAGACACCTTCCCTCACCCCTTSTTTGGGTTTCTGACCTGCTGTTGTGCTGGGCTTAGACTGGTCCGTGTGGTGCAGACCCTTCTTCARTATGAGAGAGCCCAGGTCCTCGCTTTGTGTCACCCAAAGTGGTCCTGGGAAGCTGCAGCTTCAGATTAGCAGAGGCTTGTGCAAGTGTTGTGCTCAGCTCACAGCACTGCTGTGAAACAAAGCAAAGGCAATTCCTGAGGGGAGCCAGAACCTCATCCTCAGCCTCCAACAAGGGATCTGTAATTTGCATTTCTGAAGGCAGGTGAAAATGATCAATCACTAACATTTTATGTAWATTAGAATAATTTTTTTCTTTAGCCTAGTAAAGTATGGGAATAAATTCATTTTCCTCCTGAACTAAACCTTAGGTAGCACTAAAAAATTATATCCAAAACATATTTAAGAGTATTTCAAACATTGAGAATCCTACTTGTTGTAAATAGAATAATGAAAAGGAATTCTTCTGCAAAAAACCAAAATTTCTGTTAATGCTGTAAACAAGATGCTATTTTTCTTCTTCCCCCTTTATATTTCATTCTTGCTACATAAAGCAGGGAAGTGTTTTTAATTTTGTTCTAAAATGACTCTGCAGTGTAAATTAAATGTGAGTGTATGTATATAATGTCTCTGTGTGTCTCTAATTGCAGGCCGTTGATGCCCTGAAACAACTCTACCAGGAATTTCCACGTTTGTATAACAGCAGCATTGTCTGTTCTTTCATGCCAGAYGTTGTTTATAAGGTAATGTTTCCTAAAAAAGTTTTATTTTTGATTTTTTTTTTAGTTGTGTCTGGGAATTTCAGTATGATATAAAACTCTCAGTTCCAGGTTACTTTCAGATTGTTCAAATTGCAAAGGTTTTTAAAAATAAACGAAGCATAATGCATAATCTTGTTMGATCACTCTATTCGTTAGATGCCCATCAGAATCTACTGCAATTCCCTCCATTCTGAAAGCAGAAAAAAGTGCATTGCTCTTGTGGTTGGTATATGGCCAGGTATCTCTGTGCAAGGTAGCTGGTAAATGCACTTCTTATTGTAAATTATTCTTAAAATTCTTTGCTCATTCTTATTGCCAAATCTATTTACTATTTTTTTCCATTACATACATTGCATGACTGCTATGTAATTTCTTTTAACATAAGAGCAGGTATTCAGTATGTTTTAAAGGAAAGAACTAATAAAATATCATGAACAGCTTTCTAAAAGAGTTACAAAAGGMTCTGGAGGGGAAGGGGAGCAGGATTCTGGTAGAGTTGTAAATGCAAGCTAGCACCTTCTACCTAAACTCTCAAAARTTGTATTTAATGCAGCTGGGATTTTGGGTGAATTCTGGTCTTTGGTTCTTGGTCCTCCAGATGAGACAGGCTGACAGGAATGTGGTGACAGCACTGACACACAGGCCCTGGCAGCTGAGTCACTTTGGAGATGGGACACCTCGTTTCAATTCCTGCTGGAAGCATTACTTGTATATGGGGCTGGATGTCATCCTGGATTGGAGCCTACACAATTTCCTGTGGCGATTGTGTGGGGTTTCAGCTTTCCTCATACAGAAAAACTTTGTTTCTCAGTAAGTGTTGAATCTTGCTCATGTATCAGGAGATACTTTCTTCTATTTGTATATAGGGTGGAGTTAACACAGGATGTGCTTATCAAAATGTTCCATTTAGTGTTGGGTAAGGTGATAATTTTTTTACTCCATGCTATTTTATTATTTTAATCCTCTATCTTTTTAATCTGAGTTTTTATCTTYTGTTAGGCCCTCAGTATCTCAAAGAGGAAAAGTGTTTGTTACTTTTGCCTGTTTAGAGTAAGGGAACACAAAAAGCTGATGTTGCAGAAGATGACACACTRTTTTTCCATGATGTGATGCTGATGGAAGAACAAAACTCAGCTRTAGGCTCAGTGCCTTTACTCTGTGTAGTGTCAGGCTCCTCTGTCTTTGTTTCTTGCAGGGACTATGTGAGACACTGGTCTTCCAAAGGAATCCACGTGGTTGCCTGGACAGTGAACACGTTCGCAGAGAAAAACTACTACGAAAGTGTCCTTGAGTGCAGCTACATCACTGACAGCCTGGTGGAGGACTGTGCCCCTCACTACTGACCCAGTGTGAGCACCCTGCCTTCCTGGGGCAGGTCTGCATCCCCCAGGGCATCCAGCAGTGCTGATGGACKGCTGGGCAGAGCTCTGGCAAGAGGCAGAGCAGCAGCTTCTGCCTGTGCTCCCRTCTCAAATGCAGGAAACCCCTCTGCTGCACTGGCCAAAGCTGTGCTGCAGCCACACAGAGTCTGAGGAAGTCACTGGAACGTGARAGAATCAGATTTGGCAAGCAAATTGGGCCATACCTTGTCTGTGCAGGTAGTTTTATRATTCTCTGACTATTCCTTTGCTTTGTTTAAATTTTGGTTACAAATTTGTATCAGCAACTTTTGATGTCAAAATTTTAAATTGTAACTTGACGTTAGTAATTTTAACAGCATGTTCTACAAGTGTRTACTAATTTGAGGTTGATTTATAGCACCTTAAAATGATCTACATTACTGTTCTTAAAATAGAAACTGGAAATAATGGTGCCAAAATAGAAGATGAGTATATTTCCCTGCCTTCATGGAAAGATGGCTGTGCTGAATCCTGACAAGGAAGAAAAGGCCAGCTTTCCATGCTGGATATGAAGGTTATGAGAATTAACAAATAAAACTTGAGTAGCTTCTTATCTTGAGACCTTTTAAAAGAACCAAAGGAGAATAGGGAATTGTTTCTTCTAATGAAGAAATTACACAGCACATGAATGTATTTGTTTTTAAAAGAAAGCTGTGTCTTGAGTGCTRGTAAGCAGTAGAACAAATGGAGTTGGAATGTCTTTTTAGTTTGCCTTTGTTTGCATGATTGAAGGGCACTCACAGGGGTATGGAGACTGTAATCCAGATTTAACTTAAACTCCAAAGAGTCTGCAGTTACAATAAACAAGTCTCTGAGAACTCATGGGAAGGTGTTCTTTATCAGCTGTGCACAAGTGCATTGATGTAAAATGTCTCAGTTACTGCAGATGCTCCCACTTAGGGTAAATCCACACTTCTGGAATACCACAGGTTCATGCTACAACCTGTCGGGGGAGTGGATTTTTTTGCATGTATCTTGAGCTCCTTCCAGGTACAAAGCAGCACAGGAGAAAGGAGGTGGTTTTCCCTGTCAGGATGACAAGATCCTCTTCTATGCATGCCCCTGATTCCCCCTGCACTGCAGCAGCAGCAATCTCAGCCCAAGTACGTTCTGTCCAGATTCTGTCCTGCCCCTTCASGAGTGCTGTGGCCTCTGTTGCTATTGCTGAGCCTGACTGGTGCTCCCGTGTGGCCTCTGAAGGGCARTGACTCCTCGTGGCAAATGGCCTTTGCTCCAAAGGTCCAATTGTTGTTGCTGCTTGAGTTTCWGGCCCTGCTGAGTCACCATCCTCAGTGCAAACACCAGGCCCCTGTCCCATATCCACAGCAGACTCTACAGTTCTATGCACTGGGGACCAATGACATTGAATCTCTGTCTTACATTGTGTGTAAAGTTTGTCCTTTTCTCCATGCCTATGGTGGCTGGGGTGGGTTGTCTTTAGCCTAAATTAATGAGGAAAAGATGTGCCTCTTTCCAGAGCAACAAGAGAGGAATAAACCAGACACTAGTAGAAAATGAGGTAAACAAACAAAAAAAGAATTACTATGATGGTGGCAAAGCTGTGGCTGGGAATAAAAAGAAGCGACATCCAATCTCCCAGTCATGTATGATAAAAAATCTTAGATATCTAACTTCCAACCCCTCCTTTATGGGAAAAGATGTGTACACTTTCAGTTTACAAGCAACGGTTTCTACAACGTATCAGTCATTAAAATCAAGTTCTCTTTCATTCCCTTCTGTTTATTTGACCAATACTTCAGGTTTGGTTTAGATCAGATAAAAACCATTTAAACAATATAACTGATAAAAAAAATTAAAGCAGAACTTTTATTTACAATTAGRCACAGGTTTCCTTACATTTAGTCAGCACCACGTGGTCAGCTGAGGAGGAAGCCTTATCACATCCAGGCGATGCGAGTGCTGGGGGAAGGCTGGCACCAAATGCCAACAGGTGCATATTCCCTATCGCAGTAACTGAAGTCCCAGTGCATTTTGCAATCCTGTTCTCTATTTTCCTTCCATTTAGAGGTAAAAAATGGTTATTCTTCCAGTCATTAGTGCAAGAGAGCGTCGCTTGCTGCAGTCAGCTGTCGGTGATTTCCCTCGGTGCTGCCCGGTTCCAGTTCCAGTTCTGGGGGTCCTGGCTCAGCGCCGATTGCCGGGCGCGCAGAGCGAGCTGCAGGGCCCGCGAGGGGCCGGGGCCRGGCGGGGAGGGCTCCCAGCCTGCAGGGCACAAGAGAACAGCGTTAGTGCTGTGCTGGGCAGCACCACACGAGCAAACAGCCCCGTGCTGCGCAGGGAGCACAGCTCCTCGGGATGAAGTTGTGTGACTGTGTAAATCAGGATAGTTTCATTGTGAGCATGATGATGTCCTGGGGACTCTGCATCGTTAGTAACCTCTTCTGACATTCATACCAAGATGTGAAGTCTAATCTCTAAAGTGAGYTAAAATTCTCACTATTGGGTGCTCCCATAAGACCAAATCTCCCATAAGATTCCTTCATTTACCCAGGAATTTTGCTCTCTAGCATACAGAAATGAGTGGTCAGTCTTTAAAAATCACCACCTCCTCCAGAACAATACAGGCACAACCTATAGAAAATATTCACCCCACAAGCCCAGTCTTTTCTCTTTACACAAGATACTAAAATGCTGTGTCTCTGACATGCAGTTGTCACGTGCTGTGTCTGTACACCAAACATTTTTACTGAGCTGAACTTCCAACAGCTTTCTGTGTTTCATCTTTGTTGCTTACCTAGTGGAAAATCACTGCTGCTCGAGATCCCAGCAGAAAAGGGATGCTGAAAACAAAATTCACAAGCAGGTTTAGGTCATCATTTCCCTCACATGTGTATTACCTTGCATTTGAAAAAATACCAGTAACCTGTAACAAAMCCATACTCTCCAGGTCTTAAGCAGGTTTGTGATTAGGAGTGCTCCAACAGCTATTCTGATCCCATTTTTGTACCTATTCAAGTTAATCTTTGAAGTTATTTCCAAGCATACAGGACTTWGCTCCACATGTTCTACATCGTGCCCCAGATTCTATATGGGGAATCTAGATTTCCCCTCACCTCACCTCATTGTAGGATTGGTTTTGGTTTCTGTCAAATGCATTTCCTGGGTAGTCTGGCACTTCCTGGGCAGCTTGCCTGGATGGGCAATATGGAGAGGAGCTTCTCTGGAAAACAGTATTTGGTGTTAGCAGTCTGTATTCTGACTTCCAGCTGCGACTTACAGTCAGCACTGCTCACATCCTTGTTTTAGGGAGATGGCCTTTTATTCATATAATAATTTTAATGATAGGCAGTCATACAGGGGGATTTGACTTTTCCAGGGAGGAAGGAGAGGAACGTCTGTCTATCAGGATGTACCTCTCTCTATCAGTATGTAGGTCCAGGAGTTTTTACTCAGCTCAAATAAAAACACCAGACAGCACCTATACATGCACATTTTAAAACTAATTTGATGGTTCAGCAGGCTGGACTGCCTTGAAAAATAAATTGGAGTTTAGGATAATAGATGTCTATCAGTGTTGTAGGGGATTGAGAATGCGGTTAGGTCAAAGGACTCAGCTTTACATCAGCTGAAAATATTAACACAGCATAACCCCCCAAGGAAATCCATTGTCAAGGGAGGAAGGCAGCCTCCTCCTCAGYCTAGGCAAGGTTCAAGTGTGACCAGACCCTTTGGTGACCATCCTGCACACACATTGGGAATGTTTTCTTGCATTTCTTAATCATAAATTATCTGGTGAGGGTCAGGACTTTTCTATATCCTTCTCAGGTTGAATTCCAGCTTGGAACAAGTAAGGGAACTTCCATAGCATCCTTTTGATGTCTGGAGCGGGTAATCAAACAATTGACATGAAGTTTTAAATCCAGACTTTTCCCAAACCAGCAGCACAGTCAGAGAAGTCCCATGGAACTGTACCAAGTAATTAAACAGCAGTACCTGAGGAGTCTGTACCAAGTAATTAAACAGCAGTACCTGAGGAGTCTGTACCAAGTCATTAAACAGCAGTACCTGAGGAGTCTGTACCAAGTCGTTAAACAGCAGTACCTGAGGAGTCTGTACCAAGTCATTAAACAGCAGTACCTGAGGAGTCAGACTGAGCTGCTGGCCCTGGTCCAGTGCAGATGAGCTTCGCTTTGCTCTTTGCAGGGCCCGCAGTTGTTTAAGTAGAAACATCTTATCTTGTCCTGCCTGTAGTTGAGACATATTTGATCATTAGCCAGAATGGACTAATTGTCCTTGAGAGGTTCGAGGCCAGTAAGTAACCACTGACCAGAGTAATTCCTTCTATTCTAAAATAATCTGTCTACAGAGAGCTGCAGCAGCACATCTCGAGGATACAATTCTTTTGCTGCAACTCTATTTGTGAGTTAAATTTCACTGCAACTCCCATAGGAAAGAGCTCCCACTCTCCCTTGCACAGTTATAGGAAAAACAGGTTACAGCTCCACAAAGCTGGATGAAACAATCAACACAGAAGCCAAATTATACAAAAGATGTAACTGAAAGCCAAACTTACATTAATAATTTGCTTACGTAAGAGTTTGGTCATTGTCTTTCTTCCTCGTATTATTTGCCAGTAAAGATAAGCAAAAATTCTAAACAAAACAAAACAGAAGAAGTCCAACACATAAGGCATTTTCTCCTAGTCAGTGTGTAAACAGAAATGTATCTTATTTATTTTAACCCATTAAAAGGCATATATACACACATCTCTGCCCTTTTCTGGTTGGTTTTTTTTTGGCAGATACTTACAGTACAATACCAGAGAGGATGAAGAAGAAAAGTTCACTTGTAATTAAGTTATGGTAGATCCACACCACCCATTTAGAGGCAGTGTAACTTTCCAGTGTTTGTATCCACTCAGAGACTGCAGCRTACATAGAAGACAAGCCTCTGAAAGGACCACAACCCTCTGAAGGTTTTAACCTGAAAGTGTGAAAAAACAGTTACTCAAAGCTTCTTATATTAACCAGAGAAATTGTTAATACTGTGATTTTGTACATCAAGATGCTCCTCAGTTTTCTATAGCCCTCTGCTGTCTTTGGGCTCCCAGGGCACTTCCCTGATCTTTATTTCATTTTTACCTTGTGTCCCTCTCCCCAGCCCAGTCTATGCTGTGAGAGATGAGTCCTTGCTGCAATGGATCAGTACCAAGTTCTGTCAGCACAAACTTGACCTAAAGGAAACGTGCCAATCACCATAGCACAAGATACAGCAAATTGAAAACCAGGATTTTTTTAACATTTTACCACAGGGAACCATCATTTCACCTTGCCTTYAGGGACATGAGTCACTGCAGATCTTCAGCAGTAACAGAATGTAGTGAAATAAGGCAGCCCATTTAMAAAAATTCCTATTTTCAGGTAGACTGAAATAGGAAAGTGTTTGCTTTAAAACTGAACCACTGCAGACAGTGAAATCCCCACTTGCCATCTGGAACTGTTTGCTCCAGTAGCTTTCATCCCATCTGTTTTCATGTGTAGTCAGCTGTCTCACTAAATATTGARATCACATCACTGACAATTGTCAAGCAAAAGGCACATCCATGCTGCCCTCCTGWGACCAGAATAACACACAAACCAAAGCAGCCCTAAAACACTGCAAACAGCCAAGATGCATTATTACAGGATCAGCACTGCCTGCAGAAGAGCCTCTGAAGCTCATAAAGAGTCCAGAAGCTGACCYCAGCTGAATTTTTCCAGCTGTTTCTTTGCTGCACACCCCGTATCACCTATAACATAAGTTCAGGAACTAGGACTTGGGGGTGATGCATTTAAATAGGAATCAAAAATCTCAATGCAATTTTGTTTCTCCTCCCACTTTCTTAAGGGACAGGTTACTCCATGAGCCATATTCTCCCAAACTCATGGAGCATGTCTTGTTTTCAGAATACCAAAAGTGTCACAAACATCTGAAATCTTCCACCAGCAATTAAYAGAATTTCTTTTATAGAGAAATGCAGGCTCCTCTGCCTGGTAGAAGGTCACACATGCAGCATAATTTCATAGGCTGGAATGCCAGTGATCTTCCATACCTCCAGACAGTGACTCCAATGACAGACAGGACTCCAACCAAGGARGGACAAAACAGCAGGAACATGAAGGATGTTGTCATTTGAGCAGTTCTCCAGACTTTGCATGGGGGTTGACAATTCTTCATCAGACTGACCTTTAAAGAAATGAAGGTACTTTGGAAGGCTGTTACTGCTACTTCAACCTGGTTTATGTCAATCCCACTGAAATTCCTGGAACAGCATCTATCAAAACTTTCCAAGAGCAACTTTTATGTGAATTTGATAGATCTACTGTAGTTTTGGAAAACTTCAATAATATAGTCTTAAAGTAGTAAAGGGGCAAAGTGAGGTTCTGATGGATTCTTCAGAACTCTGTTAGYAGAGTTTGCTTCTGTAGCAAATGCAAACCCATGATTCAGGGAAATTTGAGTCYATATTTCTACCTACAGCTTTCTTCTTCTACATTCAACACTACAAACAGCTTAATGACCATCTGGTCATACTACTGAGACAAAGAATTCTGAAAAAAACCACATTTCCACCATGACCTTTAGCTGAATCACCCTGCTTACACCCAGACAAATTGGGGGGAAGAGTGGAGCTGGCGAGCAGTAACTGGAGGTGAAAGTCCCAGCCAGAGGCTGAGTGTCTACACTGGCATATGCACTTATCCACTGTTCATTCCTCAGCCTTTCATTTTACTACTTTATTATTTATGATGAAGACAGGTAAAGTTTCTTACCTTTTTCACAAAAAATAYTATAGAAAATGCTATCATCTGGATACCAGGCAGCAGAGGTGAGAACAGGATACCAATCCTACAAGAAAGGATTTGYAAGCAAAAGAAGTTACATCCTCACTATTCACCACACAGTGCACTGAAAACAGAAAAACCCCACAGTAACTTCCTATTCAGACAGTATGTGATTATTTGAAAATGTGATTGTGTTAACCTTGATCCTCTAACAGTAAGTCCACCTTGGAAAATATGCACCTTCAAACATAGGTACCTATGTACAGATCTGCAGAAATCTCTTATAATTCTTGGAAATAAAGCACCTTTTCCAGCATTTAATACTGAGACTATTTCAAGAACATCATCCCAGTGGGGAATTAAYAAAACTCCAGGACATTCCTGCAGGAACCTGTAACATTTCTCCCAGACCAGGTGGCTACTGGGTAAACTAATGAAGTTATTATTACTGCCCATAGATTACTCTGGCAAGTCACAACCTTTATCAAAGGCACTTAATAGGTCACCCCCCAGACATTTATTCTGCTCTCTCTGAACGCTCCCACAAACATCAGARTAAGAATTTTCCATGTAATTTCTAAGTGCAGATGAAGCTTTGGCTGTAAATGTAACTCTTACCAGGTCAAAGTTTGTGCATAGATCAAATCTAAAACATTTCGTCCAATGTCAAATTCTGGCAGCCCCAGGCTCACACAGACTGTAGTTCCAATAATTCTGGGGGGAAAAACCAAAAGCTGTAGCACCATAGTATTTGCTAAATGGTAAAGTCCTCTGTGGAAATCCCTGCAAATGACCTGAATACAAGCAGCAGTGACAAATTATTTAGAGGCTGCATATCTGTCATGCAAAACAGCCACAGCTCGTTCATTAGACTGTACAGCAAAAATGAAACAGTTTGGCAAAAGCAGACTTCCATAACACACAGTAGGGTTGAGATAAGTAAACATTTCACAAAACTGAAACAGAAAGCYAACAAGGACTGCATCAGTACATATCTATACTACAGTAAGTAACTACTTATTACTTGCTTTAAGCACAAGCATCCTTGTGCTTAAGCAGCTGAAATGTCAAGTTACAGTCAGCAGCAAAACTGTAACAGCTTTTCAGGTACTGAGAATTTCCAGCGTCAATAAAAAATRAATGAAATTTGTAGAGTGATACTCAACATATCCTCAAGTACATCCTACTTCAAACAAACTGAGGTTGTAAGAGCTGAAACAGGCAGGTAATAAAGCATTGAGRGGATTCCTACTGAGGACCAACAATCACTTTTAGTCACCTCATTTTTTCCTGAGCTGGGTAGATTCAGTTTTTGGCTTGTTGYAGCAAGAACAATAAAGGTTTTGGTRCYTTGAACACACATCTTGATACCACTTTATCAACACCACCATCAACAGAGCTGGGTTTTCAGGAGGTTACTCTGAACACAAAATATTAACTACAAGCAATTGTGCATTTAACCTTTCACAGGTCTACACCAAGGGATTTTGCCCAGCTTAGGGCAGGGCATTTGTCACAGCTGACACTGCAGTTTTAGCTCCGTGACCTCTTGCTGGAAGGTGGTTTCCTACCTGAGCACATTGAGAACAGCAGGATTAAAGTACACGAGCAAGAGCCATGGAAGAAAGGTCATCCAGGGCCTCTCCACACWGTTTTTATTGATTTAAGAAAAAGTTAACAAATCCTCTTCTTGCAAACCAGTCTCATTCAAATTATGGGCAAAAAACAAACAATGGATCTCCCACACAGAAGTATGGCCAAGAATCTAAACACTCAGGAGAGCTGGTGAGCACTTAAACACTCTGCTGCCTAAGCTGTAAGTAATGTTGGGCACTGGGAAGTTCACACAGCAGATGGCAGAATAAACAACCTCTTCCTTACATGCTCAGCTGYACTGACATCCAGTCTACAATACTCTCTCACTTAGCATGTGCAGGCCTCTGCCTTTCAGAGACTCATTACATGATTAATAAGACTGATAAAATCAGATTTAAGTCTCGTGGACGCTGTAGTGACAGAACTAAGAGGGAMAGAACCACAGGGGGACAAAGCAAGGAAAGGCAGCAATGTGCCCRTGCTTATGTAGAAAAGATGGGTTTGTGCTTGAGACAATTCCTGCTTTATCAGCCCACACTCAGGAGATCCGTAAGAGTGCACTGTGGCTTCCTCCCTGCCTGTGTTCCCATCTCCAAMGGGAAAAAGGACACATTGGGAATGTAAAAGGGTCCATGCTGATCTCCTTCTGGGGAGGAACTGCAATATCCACAAGGCATGTACACAGAGACTCTGCCTGGCAGAGAAAACCAAGGAAACCTCACTGAGGCATGTCTGCCTCACATGCCAGACATGTGTCTGCTGGGCTCTTCTCACATGGAGAAAGCAGATTGTATCTTTGGTTAAAGAATGAAAACATTAGAATAAAAAKATTAGAAAAGTAGTACTCACCTTCGTAAAAACTCTCCAAAGAAAGAGCCAAGCAAACAAAATATGAAGTCAACTAGAACAAGACGATAGATATCTTGGCCAACCAGAGTTTCCCAGCACTTTAAGAAGCAGAAGAAAAAAAAAACAAAACAATACCCAGAAGTCAAAAATCATGCAATTTGAACATTGTTTCCAAATGCTTGGGCATCTGAAACTTGATCAAAGATCTGAAACTTGATCAAAGATATGCTAACAGTTGAATTCTCACAGAACAATGCTGCTGACCAGCTGAGGCTGGAGCTGGCCCAGTAATTTTTTCCTACAGTTCATTTCTCTCAAGTTGCTAATAAAACAATGTTGGGGCAGCAAACAGCTTTCCATCACATGTAGTTCTCTTTGCTRAAGCAAGTCTCTTATCAAAGTGCTTTCTAACCTGTCACTAAGTCAGAGATTTGTGTTTTTGCAACTTTACCTGTGACTCTGAGGCAGCGACAATGTTAAGCCAGTAGTAGCACAGTATTCCAACAATGGACATTTTCAGGATGATATTTCTAAAATCAAGAACAGTAACCACATCAGCAGCTGGCCCAACACAAGGAAGTGATGGCATTTCATTTTACACGTTATTACTGCCCTTGGCACTGACAGGAGCTCTCGGGGGAGCTCAGGTTGGCACTGCTCCATTGTCCCACAGAAAGGGAGCTGGGCATGACAACCCTGGCACAACATCAGCTCAACTGGCTGGGGCTGGGGCTCCTCAGGGCACCAAGGGCTGAGGGACACRGGGGTGAGGCACTGCTGATTGCAGGCAATGGTTTTGAGGGAGATGACCTCAATCCTCCCTCCCTCCCCTTCCCTTCCCTTCCTGGGGAGGGGCCAGCAGCCCAGGGGCCATCTAGGGATGCCACAAAAAAACTCAAGCTGAGTGTCACAGAGCACCCAGCTGCGAGGAAAACCATTCCTATCCTGATGTAGAGATGTAACACCCCCAAAAGGCTCGTGAAAGACAAAAGGTCATGAAGACAAGAGTGTACAGAAGCCTTTGGAGAAGATGAATTCTCCCTCACAGCTTCCTAATGCCCCCACACACCCGGCCACAGCTTTGTATCAAAAACAAGTCAGACAACTTCTGGCCAAAAGCACTAARAAGTGGTACCAAGAAATACCTGACAATAGTGACATATATGTGCTGTCCAGGACTCTGAAACCTCTCCAGGTGCCCAAGCCAGGAGAAGAAGAATGGGATCAGTGTGTTGAGGAGAGATGCAATCACAGGTAGCACCAACATGGCAGCTTGGCTCTCGAGATCATTTCTCTGCCCTTTCATGAACAGCTTAGAGAGGAAGAAAAACCCACAATGAAATAATCCCAGCTTAGAGCCTTAACCAAAATACAGCCTCTATGTGAGTTCACAGGGAAGCCCCCTGGGCCAYGCCCTGCACACTCTCAGGTCAGAGCCTGTCAGGTTTTATGGGCCTGTGAGCAGCAGCACAGGGACCCTCTCCCTTTCCCCAAATTACTGGGATCGAGGATGGAGCCCCAGCTCAAGTGCAGCTCCTAGGGAAGAAAGGACAGGTCTTGCAGGGTCACCAGATTCATGTCCCTAAGCTGACCTTGAGGCAGCTGCTGGAGAGAGGAGGGAGATTTGTTCACMCCCTCAGGTCTGACACTGGAGCCATGACCCCCGTGGGACAGGCCCTGCAAAGCAGCTCTTTAAGCCCAGCAGAATTTGTGTCTGCACTGGCAGCAAGGACAGCTCTGCTTCCCAGAGCTCCTCGTGGTGAACACATCACTGCTCAGTGTGGAAAATGCAAACTCTGGGCCTTACCTTGAGGTTGTTAATGSAGAGGAAGTAAACACCAGCACAGGCAGCAACTGCTGCTCCCAGGGAAAAAACCCAAGCAAAAAGATGAACAGCAATGCGAAGAACTCTCTCCCTCACAGAAAARTTTATAACTTCTTTGTTTACTTCCATGAGGTCTTCCTGCAAGGAAACAATTCCTCATGAAGAAGTTCTTAGCCAACAGCATAAGRCAAGACTTGTTTCAAGGAACTAGCTGAGAAACTGAATGAAAGATTATTGCTGGAGAAGATGGGCAGAGTGATATCCTAGGAACGTTTACTGGGGAACTTGGTGTTCCTATCCTAAAAGTCAAGTTTCACAGATAATATTTCCAGCCTGCCTTTTGTTTATAAGGAAGGAAAAAAAAACCCAGAAGAAATACTGTGTTTGGCAAATATTTAACAGTCACAGAAATTCATTAAATAGAACAGAAGCATACAAATACTTATCTGTAGCTCAAAGAGAAAATGAAAACAAGCAGCTAAGCCAACTCCAGGAGCTCAGACCAAATGAAACTCAAGCAGAGAGGAAGACTAAAGTCTCTTAGGCACATTTGTGTCACTCTGMCAGAAGTTATAAATTGTTTGTGCACACAAAACCTTCTTGTTTTTAGCAAAAGTAAGTCTCTAACAGAATGACTCATGCACATTAATTTTGTACCTTCTGTGGTTTGTACCTTTATTTGTGTGCTGAGATTCTTTTGTTTCAGCTTCACAGCTTTTTCATTAGTTATACTGAAATCCCAAGTACAGAGCAACTTGCTGGCGTTCCCAGAGTATGCCTGAACATTAAGGAAGTTCCTGCAGAAGGATTTTGCCATGCTGCAATGAAAATTAAACTAGTGAGATGTGTAACAGGGAACAGCAGGTCTGTGCAGCAGGGCAAGAAGGGAGATTTGTCATTTTTTTCCATCCTGTCCCAAGGGCACTGGAACTGTGTCAGACCATGTCACATAAGACAATGTGGAAAATAAATGCTAATGGAAGAAAAGAACTCTCACATTTCCTTCTCAAGATTGTTGCCAACAATCATTACCTGTGGAAGGTCACATCAATAAGAAACATTATTAGGAGCAAGAGCTTACAAAAGGGGATCACGATATTCACTGGTTTGAACTGGCATTCTCTGTATGTCTGTTACCATTTTGCAGTTATTTTTAATTTCTGTAATAAAGATTTGATTTCTAGAGACTATCTTTCAAGCAGAAATTTCTATTTAAACTCTACACCTGGAAACAAGGACCTACAGAAACATATTCAGGTAATTATTACTTCTAACTGTTGACAGGGGTTTTTATGGGGTGGGGATTYTCCACTTAATATAAGAGAAATAAGAAATTACAGTCAGTTTACCTGAACAACAAGATAAGAAAGCAAATGACAAAATATATTCCAACAGTGAAAATATAGGCAAGTTGCATGTTGTAAGATGGACCATTCTCTATTTTGCTGATTGTAGCATTGGTGTAAAAGCCATAGTAGAGCACTGTTTGTTGAAAATAACCCTGAAAAGGCAAGGACATCATTCAGAATGTTTGCTATCACCTCCACATGGTGGAAAGCATCATCATCTGAAGACCAATTAATGGAAGTGAGAGCTGTCACATTCCTTATCATTAAATCCAGGCATGATTAAATTTACATTTACRTTAAGTTTCAGTACTTACAGCTCCWGTGAACAGCTCCAGGCCCGTGAATGAAAGATTATTTGGTTCTGCTGCAAGAAACTGAGGAATTGTGATGAAACCAAAGTTCATGAGGAATGAGAAGAGGTTAAAATTTAGCAGCCACTTCAAGAAAACAAAGTAAGAAAGAACACTTGTTCCAAATTCAGCACCAATGATCTTCAGAGCCTTGTGCCATATCCACAGYAGGTAAAAATATTCTGAAAGGGTATTTCCAAGTCTCCGGAACGACTGAAGGGAAAAAGAGGTGAGAGATGAATCTCAGCAAACCAACAGGACTCAATTTCACATAAYAAAGCCTCACATTTGGAGGTTACAGTTTCATTTTGATGCTAAGGATGGATTTGCCCCACTCTGCACCGTAAGGTGTTAGCTGGTGTTGCTAAGTGCTACTGTCATTATTAATGAATGTCATTATTAATGAATACTGCAGTGCAAGTCATTATTAATGAATACTGCAGCAATGAACTGGTTCTTTGGTAAGGAACATGAAGCAAAACACCAGATTCCTCTGGAGACAAAGGTAACATCACAGCTGAAGTGGTTTGCTCTGCTGGCACTGACAGAAGCTTCTGGCACTTACCACTGCTGCTCCCTGCAGACACTGTGTACAGCAGGAAGGCCGAGCACCACGGTGTGTTGCTTTTTTTGTTATTTCATTAAGAACTTTATTTCTGTGGAAGAGCAGAGCAGGGGTGACAAGCATTACAGTATGAGTTGTAATTGAATCAAGAAGCCAAAGAAGGTGCTGCAAATAAAGTTTAAGCCATGTGCACATGAATTAGTACAACGTGGAGATGTTGCACTGGTTTGTTTTACATTAGATAATMCCGTGGCTCCTGCCCGTGCTAGGACAGCATGTTCTAACCCCTCCACTAACTCACATGGGAACAGAACTTAAATATATTCTGTGAGGAGACAAAAGGATGGTTGAGAYCATGTGGTCACTTTTCCATTTTCAATGGACAGCATCCAAGCTTCCTTTGAAAATAAATCTCAAGTCATCATTTATAATCAAATTGTAGGATCCTTATACACTCTTTTATAATAGTACCATGAGTGATTCTTCTTGTCTCCATAGTTAAATTATTTTCCCTTCAAGACATTAACTTTTTYTAATGTGCATTAAAAAGTATTCTATCCTAAAGTGATGAAGCAAAGCTGAGCAGATGGCAAAGCCCCATGATTGATTGCTAGATGCTGCTAGAAGTATAACGTTTGCAAAACCAAACAGATAAACTTCTGTTTTTACCTGATGTCTCTCTTTTTTGTCATGGTTTCTGGCAGCTTCTGGATTGCTCTAATCCTTTCGTTGGTGGACATACTTGCAAGACCTTCAACTAAATCTTTCTCTGCATCGAACCCATGAAAAAATAAATAGGGGATAATAATACAGTAATTTTTATATACAGTCTGAAATAGATATAATAACATCCCCCTTTTTCACTGCTGTCAAAGTGTGCAAGCTCTGAGACTTAATATTGCCCGGAGTATCTTCAGTTCCCTCAGAAGTCTAAATCAGATGCAAGAATGTTCATACAAAGAGCTGCAATATAAAGGAAAATAAAATACTGACAAAACTCCAAGATTCTGGTCCATTGCTTGATCACTGTTTGATAGTTACACTTCTATGACGCCACAYATTGACTTGAAAGCTAAACTTTCTCTTTATTTCTTCTAAAATGTTGATGTCAGCACTCAAACTCAGCCACAGACAGACCTGTATGACTGGACCATCAGGCTGCTTTCACAGAGCTGGAATTTGATCCCAATTCCAGACACAGTGGCTGAAAACAATCCATTAGCTGGTCAAACAAATTCTAATAAAGAGCTTAGCATTTCTTTTTACAATTTAACACATTCATACTGCACTGCACTTCATTTGTCATGGGATTTGAATGTGTTAGGAGAGTATAAAAGATTCTTCCCTAGCATAASACAAACCCAAGTTGTCCCCATAACCACAGAAGGGCTGTACAAGCAATTCTGGTGAGAAACTAAGAACAGTATCAACCACACCACCTTTGTACAAGATACTATCAAATACTGAASCACTTATTTAAAAGCCCTACCTCCACTGCACACTGGATCTGTTTCAAACATGCTGGAGAAAGTCATGAAGGTCTCATCGGGTGGTCTTCGGCTGCGTCTCCGAATGAAGCAGGCTAAATAACATCCACTTTTAGAAAGCCCAGACAGTCCAGGCAAAATGACTTAAGAAATTCACATTTCATTTTCACAGGGACAAGTTAAAACTCTACCATTCAGTCTCACTACCTACATGCAAATACACTCCCCCAGTCACTTCTTTCCTGCTCATGTTTGACAATTGCATGTGCTTTTTCAGAGAAATGCTGGAAAAGAGGAACTGAGCTGTCACGGAGAACTCCATCTAACCCATTCATAAATACACTCCTCATTTGAGACTTTCTTTCTAGAAGACAGTGCTTTCTAAAAATCCTTCCATTGTCTTCAGGAGGATCTGTGATGCACAACAATCCTTACCTTCTGATCCATGGGAAATTCTGCGGGTATCAGGATAATCCAGCAGATGGGAGGTGGAATGTGGGGTGTCAATCAGCTCTGGCTGAGGCTCAAAGGAAAGATTGTCTGTTGAAGGGAATCAGAGTTACATAAATTTGCAAACTGCTGTGGCTATTTACAGACACAGAATACCAACCCTATGACAAAATACAGCTCTTTTGCCAACATAGCAAACCTATTCCCATAACAAAACTCCCATGTTCCACTCCAATGTACATCCTAGTACTCAACAACTTACTCAGTCCTTACAAGACAGTATTTATTGATTTGTTAATACAACAGAAAGTCCATGGAATGCTAATAAAACACTTGAACTGTTAAAAAAAAAAAAGGCTAAAAATGTATAGACTTGAGCTTTGCAGAGCTGCAGGACTCCCTCAGGACAGAGCAAACTGTTACGTGTCCCAACAAAGATTCTCTAAGCTGGCCATGTGAGAAACTACAGACCTGTGAAATTTCCATATGGACTCGTGCTTGGTAAATGCTGGCTGCTCTCAGAGCCAGGTCCCAGGGAGTCCATGGGGATGGCCACGGGGTGGTTCTGCTCTCTCCCTCTGCGCTCTCCATAGGAGCCCAGGGAAGGATCATAGGGGCTTTGGGGAGAGAACRCATTCCTTTGAGAACTCCCCCTGTGTAAGCAATAAAAAAAGAAAACCTTGACTGTTATAAAAACCCTCAATAGGTATCCTTAATAATTTGCTACCTATTATCRTCAAATAAATGCTATAAAACAAACTCTGATACTGCAAGGTATTTTGTATTTAGAACTCCAACAGCATAATTTTGGTCATTAATTTTTCTCCATCTGAAGTTAGCTTAGACTCTAACTAAACAGGAGTGACTGCTTGGAAAATAAAGACATCCAATGTTATAGTCCACTGTGAAAGTTACTGGAACTAAAAAAATATCTATGATATTACACCATAAATACATTTACTGAAATTCATCCAACATGTAAAAAATAAACACATYATTTCCCTCGAATGCTGTCTTCCTGGTTACAGCTTTAAAAATTTGTGTGAGAATGAAAGCATAAAGGAGGGATCAAAATAAATCCACAGATTAAACTCCAGGGAAGAAATTTCTTCTGCATGTAAACTATATAATTGCTTCTGGTGCAGTCATACAGCAAAATTAAATAAACTCACCTCCTATCCATTTCCAGTGTCTCAGAGAAGTGGTAGTCTGGATTTTCAAACTCTTCATTGTAATGATAAGACATGRTAATTCCTTGGTTTGAAGGATGAAATCTTTCTTATTTTTGTCTCTACTGCTCCATTAATAAGTTAAGGGGAAGACTGATTACAGACCTGATTACAAAACAGATGCAGGTACATAAAAATTAAAAGGAAGGAATTYCATTTTAGCAATTTAGAAGATTCTGCCATTCCACTAACAAATAACATGAAACAATATAAATCAGCAGTGGTTGTAACTTCATGTCATTTACCATTGGGAAATTGGGGTCCACCAGAAGTTGGAGGTAAAATAGGAACTAATATTTCTCCATAGTAAGCTCTCTCAAACTGCAGTGCCAATGAAGTTTTCCCCAACACCAATGAGGCTGGGTTTTAGAAGCTTGTCAAAACATTGAGAAAAGAAATAAATTCTCTCCCTCCTCCTTAAACAGCAGAAGCCAAATGCACAAATTTTCTTGCAGTGTGACGTACAGTTGTAAAGCACTGCTCAGGTTTGGCAGCCTGACTTGCAAAGAGACATGCTTACAAACACGAGGGACTGATTGAATTCAAAGTCTCCCAGGTTAATCAGAACACTGACTTCACTTTGATTAGGCAGGAAGAAGGAACTCAGCACATCCAGTAAAAGCCCACCAGGCAATGGGAATGCACAGTGCATCCCCTTCCCTTCTGCCAACAACGGGGAGCAATTACTGCTGACAAGAAAACATGAACAGGCCCCCCTAAGTGACACTGGTGTTTCTCCAGACAACAATTTCACACCTACAGAGGCAGAGTGAGATCCTCCTGAGTGCAGAAGAGAAATTAGCAGAGTCCCTTTTCCTCATCTCCAAAAAAACTAATAAACACCCCAGGAATCCAAAGCTCTTACAGAAAAGAAATTCAAGGCTCTTATTTAAAAGTCATGAGAAGCTTAAATCGCCTGAAAGATAGCTTTTCTTTAACAGAAACCACATAGCTCTTGATGATCTTTTGAGAACTAGCTCAGAATATACCTGAACTTTTGTACAAACTCTCCAGGAATTAGACTATTCTTTTTACTGTATTAAAAAGCACAAATATTATTCTTGAAAAGTATTATTGTGATCTTCTGCAAAGACTTGCTTGGAAAATTAAACATTCCCTATAAAAGTGGTTTATATTTCAAACTGCAATGAAAAACTAAAGAGGAAGCAATTACTTTCTCAGGGGAAGAAAATTCTGCGACAATTCCCTTTGAGGAGTGTGCAAATTATATTTTTCTGGTTTTTAACAGGTTTTTTAACTGGTTTCCCAGGAACCCAGCTCTCTCGGACACAGCCACCCAGAAAGCTGGGAAGCTTGCCAGCAAGGCAGATGAAAAGCTGAGCACTGATCTAAACAGCTTGCCAGCTCTTCATTCAAGCTGTAGAGAGCACAGACATTTTGACAGAAGTGTATGGGTTGTGTAGACTCAGCACCACCCAGAAGCAAACCAGCAGAAAGCATCGACCATCCAGATGAACCAACCTGACATCAGCCCACAGAAAAAACACATCGGCCTGGCTGCCAAATACATCCAGCACTTCTTTGCCTTACTTATCTGAAAGGCCTCTAGGCTTATCCATAAAGTCTTACTCAGAAACTCACTCTCTCTTGGTTCTCTTGTCATCCACTTTATTTTCTTTGAGTGTTAAGATGCACTGCATGCCAGGATTACTATGAAAATCTACAGGGACATTTACAGACTAACACTGAACCCAGCATCTGAAACCACTCTGGTTTTTCTTCACTCACTATGTCTTAAGGATGTGAAATAAATTCTCTATGTATGCTGAGGCAAATTCAAATCTGGCGTTTTATACTTTTCTGACCAGTCACAGCTCACTGGAAAGAACCCAAAGCAGGTAATGCTCAAACTAAACCATCTCTATCCTCTTTTCAACCTATGATGGAGTGCAGTAAACCATAGCTCAAGGAAAAGGTATGACATTTAGACTTAGTTTTCTCTTTTAAAATACTTAGAAGGGAAAAAAATAGCTGGAGGACAGAGGTCATTTGTGAAAGAAAGCAGGATCTTAACAAATCTTCCATTTGCAGATTGATGTTCATTTGTGGATTACGTTTTTGGATTTCAGCAAACAACTAAGCAAATCTTGTGCACCTTCTCTGGAGTACAGAAAGGTGTAAGATCAGCAGTTTTAATCATTATTGATATGTAAATAAGTTAGAAAATACATGGCAAGTGGGTGCTTTCTGTTTAAGTTGTTCAACCCTGTAATGATGTAGACCAGGAAACTCCAAGCAGTGCAGACTCATACTTCTGGATCATTTCCCAGAAAAAAAATATTGCCTTTACATCACAGACCAACAACCTTGACTAAATATTCCTGTGCAGGAAATGCTCTACTATAGACAGAAATCCTCATGTAGAATGTAATAAAACAAACACGAATGTCTTGCCAAAATAGCACTTTGTCCTGGCATCAAGTTTCAGGAAAGCCACTTAGACCTTCAAGCTCCTTATCTATAATCCCTCAGTAAAAAAGATTTCCTAAAGTAACTTACACACATCTTGAAGTGCAATATAAACAGTGAATTTCAAATTTACATCATTAATAATGTTGAATGAAGGGAATAGAACTCATGGAAGAAGTGATTCAGAAGGCTGAATGTGCTCTATTTCCATAAAGATAGTTTAGTTTTGTAGGGTATGACTAGACAGGGCTTTAYGGTTACCCAAGTTTTATTCATGAATCCCTGTCCTGTTTAACATGTTCCACACAGCTACATGATGAAAAAAATCAGACTAATTTCTGGAAGGCAAAATTGRGTTTGAGAGACAAGCCAGAGTTTTACCTTCTGCATCAGCAGGCAGATTCCAGTGCTGATCACTACTCTTCTATCGCWGTCCCAACAGTTTCAACACTTTTGCAGCAAACCAGGAAAGCCTCTCAGAAAATCTAAAGGGCCTGTGAATTGACACTAAGCAAACACTACACTGGAGAAAACCTCAYGTCTAATTGATGTATTTGCAATGGAACCAGTGTGAATCATACACGGAAGCAAAAGCCACTTATCTTTATTGTATCTTGCCAAAGTACCCAACCAGCACCAACAAACAGCACCTGTTCCGGGCCTCCCATTGCGTTTTTATTGATGTCAGCAGGGTCAATTACAGGAACCAACATCAACTGTGCTATTTTAGACCTTGAATTCTGTTTCAACAATCTAAATTGCGCCTCTGCTACAAGAAATTTCCTAGTGACAGATGAGATGAACCAGCACTAAAGACTCATGTGCTTACCTTTGCATAAGGAAAGGAGAGAGAAACAAATTGAGGAAGGGGCAGGGACAGCATCCCCCTCACAGTGACCGTGCTGCTGTCTCTGCCAAGAGCTTGTTGGATCTGGAGCCCAAACGCACGAACTTCTCAGTCCTACAGTGCAGTGGCACCAACCAGGAGCAGATCCCACTCTCCCAAAGCCCAAAGCCCTTCCTGGTGAGAATGGGAGCAGCCAGGCAGAAAGATGCAGGGAAGTGTGTGTGCCATGAGGAACATCCACTGCCCGACTCTCCCTGCCCTCCTCCGGCCGCTCCCAATGCCTCCAGCTGCTCTTCAGCACCACCAGCTCTGCTCCTTGCCTGCTCTTTATCCATTTTTGTGCTTATTCATTTCTCTGTCTCTTCCTTTACATTCAACATTCCTGTTGCAATTCCCCCACAATACAGTAAGACGACAGTATTTTCATCCTGTTCAGTTTGTTGGCAAGTCAAATCCTTTTTATCACATGTGGTTGCTTAGATAAGTGTCCTTTGGGGAAGGACTGTCAGCTACTTTGTGTTTGCAGTGTCTCAAGCAGGATTCAACTTCTTCACCTGAGTTTAGAAACTTGCACCTATAAATGTGCTCCAGAAACATCTAAAAACTGGTTGCAATATGTAGCTAAATTTTAGTGTCCAGCAAAGTGCTATAAAGAGGTGGCACATGAAGTTTTTGCTTAAAGGGAGTGGGTGAAAGTTCAGATATTTCATTAATTCTGTGAAATTCATAGTACTTTCCCTAATCTACAACTCACATTTCTGCTTCTCCACCCAAATGGCCCAGAGATACAATTCCTATGGACTGAAGTACATGTGACAATGACTTTGAATGATCTAATCCTTTCCCTGGAGGCTCCTTTGAGAGCAACTTTCTGTGTTTGCTCCTTTGGGAGCAACTTTCTTTGTTAATTTTATTTTCTTAACTCTGACCACGAGTGCAAATTTAATTCATTGCGATAAATAATTAGAAATAGGGAACTGAAGGGCAAGAACAGTATACCTGGCAGAGAGAGGCAAGATTAACAAGAATAAGAAACAGAACCCTGCATTATTTCTTTAACTCTTGAAAAACATTACCTAGCTCATAGTCTGACCATTCTGGGGACAAAGGGCTAAAGCAAGAATCATTTCATATCAGTGCAAGTCAGTCTTGTGACTAAATTTCCAAACTGCAAATTGTCACATTCTCTGCATTTAGCAGGACTAAATCTTACTTTGCAAAACTAGTTCTTTAAGTCTATTAACCAACATTACCAGATACCTATATTTGAAGGAAATAACTGCTTACCAAAAAAAAGGAAGCGGTTTTTGAATACCTAGTTGGAATTAATTTTCTGCTTTCAGTAGAAAGRCAGCCCATCACATTAGGTCTATTAGAAGACACTGCTTACTACAACAGCTGTGACATTTTGCCTTCAAAGAAAGCTCTGTTTATTCTGCACTTGTAATGGATACCTATCCACTTGCARCCTCCAAATTGCACCGTAATGAGCAGTATCAGTTACAGGAGTCTCATTCACCAGTTCAAGTGGAAAAGCTTATGAACACCACACATACGATCATTTTGGATAATAAATAGGGCTTTACATACACTCAATGATCTTGGACTGAAAAAGAGCATTGTTCTGTTTGCAATTTCTGGCTTAACTTCCTGTTAAGGATATTGTCTCATTACTATTTGCACAGGCAGCATTTAACAGCACCCTGAAGGAAAACAAGCTTTTCTTTTTATCAGAATATTGTGAATACCAAGAGACTAAAACATGATTACGGGAAACCAGTCAAAAGAAGAGAACCAGTTTTGTCATAGGTTTCTCCTAACTCTTCAAAACCCTTATATGCAGTTTTCAAATTGTTTGGCAAATAATTTCACATGAACTGAATACGTTTTTTTTTTTTTTTTTCCAGACAAAATGTAGCTCCATTAAAATGCAATGTAGCATATTAGTATGTTAAGGATCTATTCTACAACAAACAGACACAACCTATGGACTGTGCAAGTTGCAATTAGAGACTTTTTCAACAAAATATGAACAGGGACACCATTGTAAAGTTCTAGTTCCTCTTCTGTCTGCCCATACAGCCATACCACACCACCTCAGCACTTTATCACTTTCCAGGGTAAAAGTCATTCTGACAAATTTATTTTGGGGGAAAAACAACCAACCAAACAGAAGACCACCAAAAGCCTAAACACCAAATTTAAAAATAAAAACAAAACTTCAGAAATCACTTGTTTTGCATGGAGTACTGACATATCAGCGCAGAAGAGATGCCTTTCGACATTCTTTACCACCTGCAGCCTGCTGCYACCCTTATCGTGAGGCAGGGCTGTGTCACATGGAAGGGACTGACCCGCAGCCACACCTTGAACAGGACTCCAGAGCCACTGCCCCACAGAGCAGGAGCAAGCTGCTGTGGGTCCCAGGGCTGGCACAGGAGMCACTGGGGATGCTCAGCCAGGGGAGGCACAGGACAGCACAGCTCCCGTGCAGTGCCACTGCTTGCAGCTTTGCTTTACTAACAGAGCATTCTTAATGACAGCAGCTTAGCAATCAAATCTTGGRTGTGAAGATTTGGCTTTTAGCTGTGCATTCAGCCTTCTGCATAGAAACGTTTCAGCCTCTGTAGGTTAAATAGTACTTCTGTGCGTTTTGAGGGAGTGACAGGGTGAAGGACCACAAAGACCATGAATACTGAAGCCTGAGATTTTCCCCACCTATTTAATACAAAATCCCGAAACCTCTTGTGATACAAAGACCTCACAGCCTGCCASCTGGAAAACAGTGCCACATCCATTCGCTAGCCAGCAAACACCAATATGCAGCATACACCAAAGTGAAATGTCACACTCTAGCTATGATCCCAGCCAGGTCGGTGCCACACCTCGGAGTGAAGGGTGACACACTGGCTAAATACCTCAGGGAAGCTGTGGCTGTTAATCTCCCACGGGATCTCCAGCCGAAGGCAAAGGAAGCTCGGATGAGAGTAACGGCGCACCAAAGCTGAGGCGGTCCGCGCAGCAAGGCTGACACCAAGCCCTTGGCTCGTTATCCGCCCTTCGGAGAGCAGGAGCCGTGTACATCCCCGACATGCCCGCAGCTCCTCACGGCTCCATCATTAAACGAGCAGCAGCCCTTTGTAMGCGGCAGCCACCGGCCAGGGCTGCGGTGACCCGTGC